GGCCCGTGCCCTGGCGCCGCGGGTCCTCGCAGCCCACCGCACACCTGCGGGGCTCCGCAGCAAACAGACTTTGATCCTGGGAGCTGAGTCCACGTGGGGCGGGCCGCGCGGCCGCGGGGTGACAGACCGCAGTCTGGGAGCGGCCGGGACGGAGCCCCCCGTGTGCGGGGCCCGGTGTGCACCTTACTGCCCCCGGTGCCTAGACTGGGCGACAGACTCTTGAACACGTAACTTGTGACCATGCCCAGCACCGGGCTGAGGAGTTAGTGGTACTTCAAGGCGGTCCTGCCGCCGGGTCTGTGTAAATGTTTTTGTAAAGCAGATAAGCCCTATGGCCACCGTCCCTAGGAGACCTTGCGTAAAATCAGGTATGTCTGTCACTGATTATCTAAGGACCCCTTAGGGTGGGGGCCGCAAAGCGGAGACACCTGGTTCTGGTGCTTCCCCAGGAGCGGCTGTGTGAACCTGGGCAGGTCAACTAACCTCTCTAGACTCGCTTCCTCATCTGTGGACAAGAGGACTTCCCAAGACTCCTCCCGGCTACAATGTCCAGGTTCTGTGATTTAACAAACATCGTATTTATAGGCTACAAACCGCGGAACCCTGTGTTGGTTGCTATGGGGAAGGGGAGGGGCAGTAAGAATAAAGAAGGAGCTTCTGTCCAGGTGGAGGTAAAATATAAACATAGAGAATTTTTTAAATCACCATGAAATACTCTTAATAAATTCTGCCACCACTAGAGTAGATGTATGTATGTGCCATGCTCTGGGTGAATGGGAGATTGGTTAATCTGGAAATGAGGGCTTCCTGATCCTAAATCCAGGGAGGGTGGCTGGAATCAAGAGTGGCCTGAGCTAGACCAGCAAAGGCCTTGCCACACCCCTGAACCCAAAGAAGGACCCCCAACTGCTCTGGGTTTCACATGACAAAGGCAGTGTTAGTGCCCTAGGGGCCGGGATATAAGCTCTTTTGAAGCTGTTATTTTGCACTTTCTTGTATTTCTATCATTCCCCCTCCCCCCACCCCCACCTGTATGTGGTGTTTCTCCACCCATACTGGAGAGCTGGATTCCCCTCTTCTATTTCTGCCCTGCCAGAATAGAAAAGAATGCAGGAGAGTTTCCAAGACATTATAAGGGAAGGACAGATAGAATCTGATGATTAATCGGGAAGGGGGAGGGTGAACGCTAAGGAGGATAATTTAACAAAGATAGTCCCAGTGCTTCTAACCTGACAAGGAAGATACTGCCTTAAACAGGTGAGAAAGTTGGAGAAGGGTGGGGCAGCAAGGAGCTGATTTTAAGGGGAACTAGCCCTTACTGGGCCGGTTTTTAGTTTGAAGGGAAGTCTGGATGGTGGCAGTAAGGAGAGAGGAGATGGGTTTGGGGACTTACATAATGTCCTCTCCTTTGGTATAGACAATTGACGTTTACTTGGACATATATGCAAACATAGCTTCAAAGCTTTCAACCAGCCCTCCTGTACATCTGTGTTTCTCTCTCTCCCTTCCCCTCTGTAAAATAAAAACAAACACAAAAGAACAGGCTTTTAGGTTCAACTCAACAGTCACTTATGAGAAACTACTTTTTTTTTAATTATTATTTTTTAATTCTTCACTCAAGGATATGTTTTTATTGATTTGAGAGAGAGAGGAAGGAGGAGAGAGAGAAAGAAACATCGATGTGAGAGAGAAACATCAATCGGTTGCTCCCGTACGCACCCCTGCCAGGGATCAAACCCGAAACCTAGGTATGTACCCTGATTGGGAATCGAACCCACAGCCTTTTGGTGTACGGGATGTCGCTCCAACCAACTGAGCCACCCTGCCAGGGCTTTGAGAAACTACTTTATGCAGGCATTTTTTTCTTTTGTAAGCCTTTTCCCAGGCAGTGTGCTTTATTCTCTCATAATTAAGGGGAGGGGTAGTGGTAGGAGGTTCATCTTCCAGGTTATTAAAGGTTACAATCATATATTTCATAAAGAGTAATATCATTTGCATAGTAGCAAAACATTTCAGTCAAGTAAACATTTTTCCCCCTAGCACTGGGTAGAAAAAAATACTTTGGTAGCTTGATTCACATTCTTCCTTTTTCAGCTGGTTGTCCTAGCACAGTGTTAGCACAGCTAGGAGTGGATTAAAATGAGGGGAAACACTCACCCACCAGCACCCCTGGAGATTGTGGCCCCACAGTTTGAGTAAAATGACTTGGCTTTTTCTTCTTAATTCTCAAGAACTCTCCAGATAATTTGCTTACTACCCAAACTGACTGAACTCAGCATGCTTTAAAGATGAGACAATAACGCTCCTTTTGGAGGGAGACTGCCAGTTTGAGAGAAAGTCAGATGTTTAACACAAACTGCAATCTCAGAGCCCTCTGAGTAGGACCTCTCCCAGCTCTCCATGCCAAGCTCCTCGGACCCGCAGCTTCCGGGCTCAAGGAGCTAGCCTGCAGATTATCAGTCCAAAATGTCGGTTTGAGAGGATTCTTGTAAAAAGCTGCTGAACGCAGACACACCTCTGAATCCTGGTTATCAAAAATTAAGTGTGTGAAGCTGTACCATAGAAAGAGGAAGAA